ACGCCGCTTTCGGGACTGTCACTCCACACCGCAAGTGCACAGCAAGTAACGCCTCTTGCAGCCTGCACTGCAAGAGTGTCCATCGAAGGCATTTTTTACATTGTGGAGTTTATTGTCCTCGCTGTCTGTTCGCATGATGTCATCCTCGGATGGGGCTTCCTATCCCGCCAAAAAAGTGGATGGAGGGAGGGCCGCTGTGATAGCTCAGTGGTTAGAGCATCGAACGCGTAATTCGAAGGTCGTAGGTTCGATTCCTGCTCACAGTGTGTAATTTTTTCATCCACTTTTCTTTCTTCTTATTTACATTCCATTGGTTTTAATAACTTCCCCTGTACATTCCTTGGCATTACTGTCTGTTATATCTCATATATATATATATATATATATATGTTTTAGGAATGAAGATCGATGGTCCGGTGTAATAGATGATTGAAGAGAAGGACGCACGTACGAAATGTGGATTTATTAACGTTTCGGCTGGTGGACCAGCCTTCGTCAGAATGATTGCAGTATGTTACAGGCACTTAATATATAGGTAGGCGGATGTATACACAGGAACAGTGCACCACTGCCAGATGCTATGCGCAATGAAAGCAAGGTACATGCGCATGGTGGACACAACACCGCACTGTGACTCACAATCACAAAAACAAAGATATCGCGTAAAAAATAATAATAATCGCGTCACTGGCCAGTGAGATACCACGAGCACAGAACATATAAGAAATATAGGCAATGCGCCGAGCGTACATAGCACAAGATTGACTCTACAAAATAATACATAATGCACTTTTACGAAGGATTAAACATCCATTCACACACACACGAACGAGATAAGTCTGTCGCCGCATGAGGCCGAGCACGCACTGTATTCTACGCAATTATGCTAGCCAGTTTGCCCGCGTTTTCGTTTAAACCCCTAGAAGCCGTTCCGAACTTATGAATTAGAAATGATTCGCGTATCTCACGCTTATAATGCGACGTGAATCCCGCCTCCAATACAGTTGCCCTAAATGATTCAAAACTATGTCCGGTAGTGGCGACGTGCCTCGAAATCGGCAGATGAGGCATGGAGTGCACATGGGCCTTGTGATTGTTGAAACGGTAGCGAAATGAATTTTCAGTATGACCGATATACTGCAAGTGACAAAAGGAGCACTCAAGCAGGTAAACCGCATTATCTGTGTCACAGGTGAAATCGCCACGAATTTTTAAAGTGAAATTGTTTGCGGAGCTTTTAGCCACAGCGGTGGTTGTCATCTGTTTGCATAACTTGCATCGAGGTTTGCGGCATGGATGGCAACCAACGTGTGAAATGTAATTGTTAGTCCGTACTTTGGAGGACGTGAGGATGTCCTGCAAGTTCCTACAGCGACGAAACACGGCGCGGGGTGGCTCTGAAAAAACTTCTTTTAGGTGATCGCTTTGCGTCAATATGTTGTGATGTTTCCTAAGAATGGCTGCTACATTGGGTGCGGAAGCGCTATGCGTGAGTACTAGGTTAGCATTATTGAGGCTATGGGAATGTTTCTCTGCATTGATCAGTGTTTTTCGGTCAAGCATATCAGCACGTGCCACTGCGTCATCAATCATCGGTGCCGGGTATTTCTGCTTTAGAAGAGAAGCACGCAGTTTATCACAACTAGCGATGAAGTCTGCTTGCTTGGAGCAAAGGCGTTTAAAACGAACAGCTTGGCTATATGGTATGCTGGATTCGACGTGACGCGGTGGGCGTGCTCGCCGGCGTTCATTTCGTCACGTCGCGCCGGCGTTCTTATGTGGTTCCTAAAGGGAAAAGAAGAGAAAACTGAGCCCCGTAACTGTCTGCATCAGGTGCGACACCTCAACAGTAGCTCACAAGGGATAGGGGTAAGGAGAGATGAAAAAGTTACGATGAAAAGTTATATATGGAGAGAGGAAGGAGAGAGCGAGGCGCAGGGACAACGATCCATAGAAGTAAAGAGGAGATAGGAAAGATGGAAACAGTCGCAGGAGTCCGAGGACGGGGCGCCACTCGACGAGAGCTCTTGTCGGCGTCAGGAGATGGCGTCGGGCGAGCCGAGTCAGCCAGCGCAACGCTGTCGTCGGAGATCGCGAGGGTACGACCGGTAGGCACGGAATGGCACTGGTGCAAACATAATAATCATGAGATGTGTGTTATGTGAGAACATGATTACATGCCACACTCAAGTCGCCAATACATTTCGACGTGACGCGGTTTCAGTGTTGCGACGCCTGGTGCTAGCCCTTCCATAAAGTGCAGGCGCGCGCCACGCTGCATTGCTTTGACACATGCGCATTTCAGCGCGTCCGGCGTCCCTCCGTCACGAAAAGAGGGAGACGCAGTGTTGTCTAGGTAACGCATCGGCGCGAAATGCAGCATGTCGCATTTCGCGCCAGTTGCCGTCGGGCCGCGCCGACGGACGCTGGTCGCGCCGGTCGCACCTGGCGTCATAGAAATCTCGCGTTTTGCTAACGTAGCGTCGCTGCGCTCAGCGTGCGCGTACGTCAACGCTACATCAGAGTATATTGGGCCCGTCATGATGTGCTCGTGCCCATTTTGATAGCTCCACATATACCAAGTTTGGTGTTAGGAGACGTCAATGAATGACAAAATACATCATTGGTGCAAACATTATAATGCTGACACGCGTGTCATGTAAGAACATGACAACATACCATGCTCCTAGCCTGCTCGTGGCCATTTCGCTAGCTTAACATACACAAAATTTTGTATCACGGGACGTGAATAGATGACGAAGGTGAACGGCCCACTCAAGCATGTTAACTATGACGTGGAAGCCATGTACGGCGTCATTTACCTCCACCTCATAACGTTATGTTGATTTTAAAGTGACGTATTGACATTTCTATTCGTGATTCGAATATCATCGATTTCCACTCTACGTGGCATCTGCAAATTTTTTCTTCCGTGACATATCGCTTCAGTGGAGTTGGAATTATTTTAACCACGCTCTTTTATACGGAATCATCATGTTTTATTTGATGGGATGGTATGGGTATCGACTTTTGACTGCGTCCTATCATTCGTCAAACTGCGCGGTTTGTGTATTTATGGGCAAGCTCAAGCAGTGATGTCCAATGGTTTTTTCCGTGAGTTGGACGTGTATTTTCTAGATGATCGCCATGTTATACTTACTGTAAATTTTAATTGTGTATTATTCACCTTTTGACAGAGGGAAAAAAAAAACACCGCCATGATGGGTTGCGCGCGGGAGTACGAACGCTAAGGGCGCAGCCTTGTCAACTTATTTTTGAGGGGAGACGCTGCCAATTTGCACAGCCCAAAGAGGACTATGGCGGTGCCCAGTGAGGCGTTAATGAAAAGGTCTATACACGCCAGCTGACGTGCAGGGTCCAGGATGGGGTCGCTCTGATTGGAACGTGCGGGAGCTGCGTTGTCTCGTCCAACATTTCTCTTTGAACGGACGGAAACAACTTTATTAAAAAATAAAATAGGCAACGCTGCAGGGTTACCGGCCTGGGCTCGGGCCACCCCGACGTTTTGTGCGGTGAGGCGTAGCCTTTCTACCACTGTCCGGGCCCGCTGGATTGACCACAGTTGGTCGTACAGATTTGAGCTAGTCAGCGCACTTAGCCAACGCTCCTCGAGAAGGTCCGGTTTTATATTGTCCTCTCGGTCTATTACTGTGACCTGTGTGCATTGCCATAGAATATGTGCCATATCTGCGTGTTCGTGCTTACAGAGGGTACAACTTGTTTGTGGGTATTGTCTGGAATTTACTCTGTTCAGGTGTACTTGATTTGAAAAGGTTCTGGTTTGCAATCTTCACCAATCTGTTTCTTGAGATCTGTCTAGCTGTTTGTGTGGTGGCGGATATTCTTCTCGTTGTCGCTTATAATGTGCCAATATGTCATGATACGTGACCAGTCTGTATCTGTCGTCTTGTATCGCATATTCATGATTGTCATCACCTCTCTTTGATATATACGTACAGACTAGTGCATGGACCACAGTACGCCTGGACTTCGCGGCGTAGCACATTGTCTAGTCGGTTCGATCGTTTCTAGGTGCCGAACGCGCTAGCTTCTTGCGTATCAAGCTCCGATGTAGTAACATTACTATCATTCCCTGTTTTTATATTGTTACGTGGAAAATGACAGTTGTCAGTCCGCAGCCACAACGCAGCTCACCGACAACGTCCACTTCTTTACTCTCAGTCTGAGGCACTTTTTTGGGTATGCCCCACTATGCCCTCTTTCAGTCAGCCGAAATCACGTAACTATATATTGAATCACCGACCATTGACGCTCGAGGCTCGCTTTCCTCTTTAATCATCAGTGAGACTTCGGCGTCTTAACATCCGCCTTCTGCACGACGCACATTCACGCTCCAGTTCATTTAAATCTTGCGCGCCTCTCTTTTGGGATCCGGTACGGAGGTGTGGGAGGCGCTCAAGACACAGTGGCGTTTACACTGCTCAGTAGCAAGGTGTGCCCTTAGACGCCGTGCATCCGAGGAACCAGCGGACACTGCAGCAAAGCTGCGTATTGCTTTTCGGGTTGATCTGCTGATTCCCTTAATTCGTGCATGACAGCGAGAGTTACGGGGTCGTTTTCATCGCTATATTGCAGCGTCGTCGTTGACAGTGGCTGCTTGGCACTGCAGACGTAATCCATGTGCTCACCCTAATTGAAGTTTTGCGCCTTGCGAAAAGCTTGCTTCTCAATTCGTCGAGTCCACTTGGAACTCATGCCGCAGAAATTTTACCAGTTGCGTTCCCGGCGGAACGTTCCCGCCGTCACAGATGTAATGCGTTACCGTTCTATCTATCCTGAATGGAACGCTGGAGTTCTTCTGTTCCTACCAAAACATGGTTCCTGGAACGTCGTTTCTTCGAACAGCGTTCCGTACAACACTGGTATCCGTGATCAGATTTCAGACGCCACATGATCGCGGAGGCCACACTTTGCGCAACCATGGCCGCTATCACAACTCGTGTCGTGTCCTGGCACAGGTTCTGCAGTTTGCCGAATTCATCGAGCTGAACGTGGCCCTGGGCGCATCTCACTTCATCTTCTACAACCACACCGTGGGTCCGGACGTGGGCTGCCTGCTGGAGCGGTACGCGAGTGAGAACCTGGCCACCGTGCTCCCGTGGGAGCTGCCCATCGCCTCCCAGCGGGAGATCCGCACCGAGGCCCTGTTCGCGGCGCTCAACGACTGCCTGTACCGCGTCATGTACCGCTTCCGGTGGGTGGCCATGATTGACCTGGACGAGTTCATCGTGCCCTCTGGGAACATTACCATACCCACAATGATCAGGAGGTTCCAGGACCGGAACAAGGTGAGAGTCGCTTTTGACGTGGGCTGATGCACAGCCGACACGCGTGCGCGCTTAATTAACCTACGGCGTACGGTACGTACCAAACAACCGATAGTACCTCTTTTTTTCGAAATCCGAAGCTATCTAAGGCGAGCACCTAACGTGCCTCGCTGCAGGGCACCACGAGCGCCACAACGCAGGCAGATAAAGTGTAACATAAAATACGTCATACTGGCGTCACAAGGTGACGTCATCATGAAGTACGTAATTAATGTGACGTCATCAGTTGAAATCATAATTTTGTCAAAGGTTGGCCGATGCTAAAAAAGTGCAACACATAACTGGTGGAAATAATCAGAGGGTGTATGAATTGAACAATGCTAACGACCGAGAGCATCAGGGTTATGCGTGTCTTTGATGCTTCGGCTATCGATCTCTTGCAAGAAGTATGTTTGCTCATTATGTAACGTATTGCATTCCAAGTGTGAAGCCGGCTCTTGCGTTCCAATGTTACAGAGAGTATACCGTGCAGTCTAACATTCTCAACTTTCAGAATACAGCCTTGATTCTTCTATCCAAGTACCTAAGACAATGTTGTGCTTCTGACAGGAAAGCGCGAAAGTTTTTAATGAATTGGGATGGAATCAAAAGATAGAAAGAAATGGAAAGTTAAATGTGACAAGCTTAACAGGAAATAGTACAAGAGGTAGTAGACTTGAAACGCAGAATTTAAAGGGTGGTTGTAGACAAAAAAAAAAAAAAAGACTGGCACCCACACACCATCACAGGCGGTAATTCTTGCCAATTGTCTATCATACAGACACCTATTCCGGATAGTACTGCTTAAGTGGGGCTGTTGACATTAAATACCAAGTAACTCATTTTGCTATGGCGGAGTTCAGTCAATGATATTTTGAATTGTTGCGTCTAACGTTTTCGTGGGGTCAGAAATTTGTTTTCCGCTTTTTGTGTACTTTCCCGCTCCTAGCAAATTAAGAAAGCACCAACTGAGCTCTCAGAAAGTTCTCACTATTCTGAAATGTACCACCCCTTCGCTGCAGAGTGGACGAGCGGGCGCCTACTCTTTTCGGAACGCCTTCTTCTACCTCCAGTGGCCAGACGACCCAGTGGCCGCTGGTGACAAGCTGCCGCTGGTGACCCTTCGCAAAACTCTGCGTAAGCTTCACCTGCACGCTCACCGCCAGCGCTCCAAGTGCATCATGGATCCCGAGAGCGTGGTGGAAGTGGGCAACCACTTCGTCTGGGAGTTCCTGGCCGGTAAAACGACCGTCAACGTGGCGTCGAGCGTCGCCTTCCTGCACCACTACCGGGTGTGCGAGTTCGGCGGCAACGACTGCGTCAACGCCACCTCGGTGCGCGACACCAAGGTCTACCACTGGAAGACGCGCCTGCTGGAGGCCGTCTCCCGGAGGATGAAGATGCTCAGGCGTCGCGACCTCGCCTGTCCTGCACAGCCGCCGCGGGTGAGACCGGGCAATAAAACCGCTGTGGCGCAGGTTGGCGCGCCAACCTCGCCGTCTTCACCCTCACCGTCATCGTGACCCCGCCCACGAAGACGTGAAACATGAACGAAGATTGCGCGATAACGGTAAACTTGTACAGAGAAGCGTTCGTGTACGAGTGGGGGCGGCTACCGTCTGTGGAAAGCGTCCCTGGTGGCACTCTCGCAATGACGCTGTCTTCGACAACGTCTTGATGGATGCGATATCGTAGACGTGCGCTATGTTGATGGGGCCCTCGACCATGGTTTGAGAACCGTGATGGGATTTGTGCTTCGGCTCGTCGTTTTCCACTCCGAGAGAAAATTGCCTCGCACGTCAGAGCGTCATTGTGAGACTTTTGAGTATGCTATGACCTTGCAGCAAGAGAAAACTGCTGCTCAATACCTCGGTATTCAGCAAGTACCCAGCCAGGTGGTTTACGCAGAGAAGGGATGACGCTTTATTTCTAGTTTGTCGGCGGCTACCATGCTCTAATGAAAAGTTTTCGTTGGAGTGACAGTGAGGATACCGTCGTGTGCAAGGGCTGTGAGACCGCATGATCTTTTCTGCAGTCCGTGGAAGTTAGCATCCAGGCAGTAACGGCCCGCGAGTGTTACTTTGCCTTCGACTCAATTCAAGTGGATTTATTTTATTCCTTGTCAATTATTTTATTTTTATATTATTGTCATCGTTTTTAGCGTTTCTAATTTCTGCGATTGCTTTTTTATGCTACGCGTGGATAGTACGTGCGATTTCCTTTTATTTTATTCAAGCTAAACTACATAGCATTTCTTCGCTTCATCATTGCACAAACACCTGTCATAAGCTTCGCTCCAGGGGCTTCATCATGCGCACAGGCTGCTTCCGCACTCCAAATATAAACACCGCAGCTTCCATCGGCGCTTTTTATAATCATATCACCAATAACGTTCATTGAGTCCTCCTCGAAAGTGTCTCGCATGCGATGAAGTGTCTCTGATAAAGGCTTATTGCCGTAGGTTCATGTTCTTAGATTTAGGCGCACGTTGAAGAACCTCAGGTGGGCAAAAATTTCCGGAACTCTCCACTAGGCCTCTTAATAACATAGTGCTTTTCGCACGCAAAACGCCTTCACAGAAGAGTCATGGAAAATAACTCGTGTTTACGGTTCATGAAACTAGCATTGCTTTGTAGCTGGACACTCAAGGCAACCGTCACATTCACCTGTTCAGCTGTCTTCAGGAGGGCAAACACCGACACGACCAGAAGGAGAATGACCGCGACGTTAGGATGGTTAACGATGGGAACGTTCTTTTCGCCCGGTGCCTACCTCGAGTCGTGCTTCAACGTTAACGGCCATAACTCGTGACTTTCGAGATCTTCAGTGCTTTCTCTGCGTCGAAGCATTTGCATTTCACCACTGCAGTTCCCAGCTGTCTCCATAAAGGAAGCCATGAAACCGGATAGTGTTCTGATACCGTATCGGCATGACAAACTGCATGTTGGGAAGCAAGAAGCCACGACGTTTCGTGTTTCGTACGCGCCAGACAGCACTCTATAATATAAGCAGAGCCTTGTTTATTTCCTCTCCAGCTGCAGAACAGAAAAAAAATAGGGCGCTGCTGTCGTGATATGCGCCATCTTGTGCACGTGATGCTTGGTGAAACATTCTCCATGATGACTTGCGCAAAGAAAAAGTGCGTTATGTGTGTAGTGTTGTGTCCGAGCCAAGTTTGCCATAGTATTCGAGTGTCTATGCGTATTACTGCCTCGGGGTGTCATGTGTGTACACTTCTAAAGTCTGATCTATTTCTCAGTGAACTGTGATGAGTTGAAGTCCAGTAATTTCCGCCACAGCTTCTCTTCAACGGCCGCCAAAGCGTTTTTCTTAAAACCACCTGGTCCGGACCTGCTCCTCCGGATGGCATTTAGTTGCGCCATATTGTTGAATTCTTCATGCCTATCTGAACAAGGGCGGAGCAGTTCTGTTTTGTAGACCAGCCATAACTGACAAGACGGCTAGGTCGACAATATTGCCAAAGCGCAGTATCCAGAAAAATACCCTTCTACGTTGTGTGTACAACCTGGTACAACTATCCTGAGAGCATACAATTCTATTGGCTGTATCATCTTATAAAAATCCTGCCACAGACAGCTCAGTGCACTTCTTGCTACGTCATCCGCGAGTTCCTCCTTTTTTTACATCGAGCGATATTTAGTTTTTATCTTAGCTTTTCGTAAGCACTTTTACCACTCACTATTTTATTCATTGTCCGAGTTGCAGGTCTCGTCGGTTACAATCGAAGCAAAGATGTCAGCGCCGCTCGCAGGCATTGTGGTCCCCCCCATAAGTGCTCCATTAACACTTGCTTACTTTTATCTTGGTGGAGTGTTGCAGATATGTAGTTGACTTTTCCCCCTGGACACACGCCTGTGTAGCTGGTTGTAGGTTGGCAACTTGATCGTCCTGAGAAATATTCTCAGGACTCCTGACGTCGCAGCTCGGTGAAACATAATGCTTTATGCGGTTACGGGCAACGTTAAGCTTTGGGGAAAAAAATAGGTTCGGTACAAAAAGGTGGGTGTTGAAGACGCGAATCGACAAAAACATCTTCACTTAAAAAAACTGTTCTCACCTGGACCCCGTTTTTTTTCTGCATGCCTATTTTTCTCAAGTAATTAACCAGCTAGCTAAGCAACAGGCCCTGCTGGACGAAACTCTTAAGTACTATTTACATTAGTCGAAACAAATACTTACTGTTTGAGCAGAAACGAGCTCGTATAACTGCCTTTACCTGGCGAGCAGCAGTTCTGAGAGCGAAGCTTACATTTTATTCCCTTGGGTTGTAGACGTTAATTGGCAGTTCTGCTTTTAGCTTCAGTTTTACGTATTGTTTCACGCCTATTTGGTGAGCTGATTTCGTAAACTACCTCATTATTTATTTTTTCATTCAATCACTTGGAGAGTAGGTAGATATTTGTGGAGCCGCACGTAGGCAGGTAATAACGGTGCAATGGTACATTGTCCATACTGCATTATGTAGTCAAGGTTTGATCAGTGAAACCCACCGCATTGTTTTAGTGGTTGTTGTGCTCGACAGCCGATTCAAAGGCTTCGGGAACAAACTAGGGCCAAGGCAGCTGCATTTTCGCTGGAGAAGAAACTCTCATCGCCCATGTACTTGAATTTAGGCGCACTTTAAAAGATCCCAGGAGGTTCCTATTTTACAGTTTTTCTGATACTAATCGTAGCTCTGGGACGCGACACGCCAGCACTGATTACCGGTGCAAGAAAATTTCGCCAGCGAAGGGGCAACGACCGAGATGGTTATTCGAGTAGCTTTCAAGGTGTTCAAGCTCACAAATTCATACCTACATGCAGAGACGCGTGGCTTGGGAAAAGGTATCGGAAACATGTGCCACGTTGTTTTGCAATGCCTTGTAGCAAGCTACTTGGGCCAGGGAAACCAGTGGAGCTCTTAGTGAGAAACAAAAGTGATTTTAGTTTCTTTTATAAAACATCGTAGGAAGTTGAACGTAGGATATCTGAGGGACGTTCTTTCACTGGTTTTTTGAATAAGCTGTTTCCATGTGTGTTGTCTTGCTGTATAATGTCGACTAGATGTCCAGATAAACGTTTGTGTAATACGGGCCTCACGTGTGCTTGCGCTGCTATTGGGATGTATGTGCGGCGCTTTATTGGTCGTCACGCCATTCTTTGTGTTACTTGTCTCCATACAGTTACCGCCATACGTACTTCTCTCTGGAAAAACTACGGGATATCTCCTTAACCACCAAAAAAGAGAGAGAGAAAGAAACAAATTACGCAAGGTGTGTGCAGGTCGCACTTATATCTAACAGCAGTGGTCACACCTCACGAAAATGCTTTATTGGGTAATAGGTGTATACATAAATCAGGTTGCTATGTTACGCGCATTTCATCAATAGAGTGCTTTTCATGTAAACCCGCAAGAACTGGCTGAACTATTTTTAAGCTACCTTTTTCTTTGTTTACAGGTGTTCTGATAGTCGATTTTTATTTCAAATCAAATACATGCTGGTCTGTGCGTGGTTCGCTGTATTTTGAGCAGAGCCTTATATTAAGCTGTCCAGCCTTTTTTTTTTGATCCGTTGCATATTGAGAAATAAAGAAAACGGCAAAGAAAGGAAACGCATGCCGTATACGCATAGCGCTTATTAATTTTGGCGCGATTTAGAAAAGCTGTGAACAGCGCAAACTTCTTTTCGAGGGCATGCACTAAATACTAGAAATGAATACATATATCGGGGCTCGTCAGAACAATTCCAACAGTAACTGTCAATAGCGGTGCAACAATTAAGCAAAGTGCTCACTATTCTGGCCTTTGAGGAACCTCGTGTCACCTTGCTGTGCGCGTGCCTATCGGGATTTACTGCGCGTTATTGCGCTAATTAAAGAGAACTCAGTAGATATGACGATCGCTGTTGAAATATAGGTCCCTTAATATGTGAAGAATGTTGATTACCCCATCTGTAAAAGCTTCTGACGGCTCATTGTAATAGCGCCCAGTGTAACTATAGCGTGATGTTGCGTGTGCATAGACGCGCTCTGTGTCTGAACTCTGTACATACTATAATAATTCCATGGCGCTTCACGTTATGTGGACGCAAACCGCGGACGTAGCACTTCGACACAATTCATGTAACAATGGTGTTCATGTACATAATGCACAGCGCAAGGCCAAGTGTAACGAAGGCTGGAGTGAAAGGGTGATGTGTTGTCGAGTTGCCTAGCCTACGCAGGCTTCGATGAGCTCCGCAAGCGCAGATGTCCATTTTGTATTAAAACTGTGTTTCGTTCGGGTAATGTAGCACTCACGTGAAAAAAAAAAAGTGTCTTTACGGTATGAGAATATGGTCGATTCTTTGGTGCTGATGTGTGTTGACGCCCACGCATAACTTCAATAAAAGCACAGGTACGTACTTAGCGAGCTCAAATGCCCCAACCTTTCCTCCACCCCCAGGAAAAATATCGAGTACATCCTTGCTGTGGGGACTGGATGAAAAGCAACTCAAGAAAACCGTTTCGATAGTACCATGGCATGTCTTCTTTTTGCGCTTTAATCACTCTCGAAACGAAAAGCAACTCGCCGTGCTGAACTCGCCTCTATTAGGTGTGCTAAATATTTTACGGGGCGGTATCAGCAACACATGACTTATTCTCTGAACAGCACTAACCATATGGTATGTTGCTAACTCATGATGTTGGTGCGCTGCGCCGACGGAAACGTCCCGGTTGTAGGCCCATGCATGTGGTTGTTAATCTCAACATCTCTCTGCGCTTGACCCCGACTTTTAAAAGCTCTAAGTTTTTGGTGGCGCCAAGTTGTGTCAACAGTTCTATATTTGCATGACTCGTAGCGTACATCCCAACACTCATGTTTACTTCAACTTGCGATGATAAGGAATGACCCGCAACGCACATACGTGGCGGTATTGTATAAACTAACAGAGAACTGAACAGCGACGTCAAAGTTTGCCACGTACACGTGCATTATATGTTAAGTTCGACACGCGAAGAATAGTGACGTCAGAGCGGGGCTACCACTCGTTATATGTTAGGTGAAATAAGACAAAGGACATAAGCACCGTGAACTGATGCCTGCTCTCTTCGACCTCTGCAACTCCTGCTTCGCTCCCACGACACGTGTGCCGATTTGTCCGGGGTGGAACGCGAAAACTATGATAGGTGAATCTCTTACGTGACTAAAAGTCTCGTCACATCACTTAACAGCAAGCTGTGGGACTGATATTGCGTAACATGTCGTGGCGAATAGTCATGTGCCTTAAAATTGCATAACATCACCTAATAACCGGTCATGTCACTAAAATCACCAAACCACTTAAAAAATAGTCACGTGACTAAAAACCACGCGATATCTCGTAACTATTGACGTAACTAGAATCACATAACACGTAACTACTCGCGCGTCTAAAATCCCGTTCAGGACACGCAACATTATTAAAAAATTGGCCTCGTATCTGCATGTTACACTGCAAATATCGTCTACAGACGATAGTCATGCGTCTGGATAGAGTGAACAAAACGTTTATTTTATGTTCTGCGCAAAAAAAAAAAAATCACTGAATGGAATTCTGGAGGCGCTGCGTTAGAGTGCCTCGAGTATGCAACGGAGGCGAACGAGTGCATGGAGTCACGTCACGCTTGAGACATGAGCGCCATCTGGCAGTTATCTTGAAAAACGAAGCACGCGTGCCTTGCGCGCCCGTCTCGGAGGTGATAAGGTGTAGAACGGAAGGCAGCGGGTAGGTGCCACCACTTTGTCGTCTTAGCAAAGCATTGAAAATACTTCCCTTTTCGTGTGAGCGTTGGATAGTCAGCGCCACATAATGAACGCTGCGGTCTGTAGAATAACTTATGTATGCATTTTCTAGTAAAAGACGCACATACAAAATATATACGTTTTGTTGTGGCGCCTCAGATTTGCACGATAATTGCTTTTTAATTCACACTCGCGCAAGTATGAACGCTCAACCTTGAGCAACATTAGTGGGCACTGCGGATTGGTTCGGCTGTTTGGGACTCCGCTGGGGCCGTTTAAAATACTCGGTAGCCCTGTTGGCCTGCATGACTGTGCGCTCTGTACGGCATTAGGAAGACCCGCTGTCGGCGAATGATACCTCTCCATAACAATATCTTTAGCGTCATTTCGTAACATTTCACTCATAAAAAATACAGCACAATCACCTGCCCTTTGCATAACAACGCATCCCAAGGTGCGTGGGGTCTACCGAATTTTTCACATATCGATACTATTATATAAACTTATTACACACAATATATAATCATTTACACATCTATGAAATTATATACCAGGATTACATTACTGATTACAAGGTTATGAGACGCGTTTTCCTTTGAAGATTACAATTTTGTGGTCATTAAAGGGCCACTCACCAGGTACCATAACAAATTTTAGTTAGACAAAGGAAGTTGTTGGGTGTCTGATGAGGAACATTTTGCCACAAAAATGTTTCGAATCGGTTCATCACGAGCGGGGAAGACGGGTTTTTTGAAGCGGCGCGAACCGAGGATGAGAGGAGGTGAGCTCGAAACCCTTGCCGCTCCTCCACGTAGCCTTCGCAAGCCAAATCTCATCCCCACCCTCTCCGGCATCTGACCAAGAGGTCACGTGCGCATGACGTGCCAAAACAAGTCCGACCGCCGAGCACGCGAGCGGCGTTGTTTTGTTGACCAGCGTTATTTTGTGGTCTTCTGTCTGTTTATGCGGGATGGTTCGTAAACACAGGCTTAGACGCCGTAGAATAGATGAGTACAATGAGTGCGCGAACGCGTAGAAGCGTTCCACGGTGGTCACCTGCTCGATGCGCTGACCACGGGGAAACGAACGCATGCGAAACGCTGGCACATTGGCCCGCATCTCGTAGCATTTCACGGGAAAAAATGAAATAAAAACGCGCACAATTATTAATTGCGTCTCATTATTTATCTAGAGCATTACTAATCTCTTCAAGCAACAAATTACATAAATTACACATGCCGTGTTAAACAATTTTCGGCATGTCACGTGCCACTGTTTGCAACGTCAGAGCAGAGTCGTCTACGTAGAGGACTAACGTCACTGCATTGCCGTGTACGTAAGGCCATTCATACGCGCACGTCATGTCCCCATTCTCTGGACGCGCACCGGAAGAGGGGAGGGGGAGCAGCGTTCATTTTTGCATTTCGCTTGTCAGCTCAAAATTGTCAAACCTGGTGAGTGGCCCTTTAAGTAGCCCTCCAAGACGATCTTGAATGAGAGGTTTTAATTGAAAGTTGAAAAAGGCAAAGTCGATGCAGGTCCCTCTGATGGTGTTGAGACGCTTGTGATCACACGACCTGCACGAGAGACTGTAACGAGACACCACGTGCGAGACTAGCCAGCAGTCGTCAACCGCCATGATGTCCACATTGAAGTATCCGACAAGCACGAATGGACAAATTCGCTTCTATACCGATGCATTGCCGCCACGTTGTGAACTTTCCGCGCTGCTTCCTTCGCTTCCAAGTTGTTCATGATGATTAGCTGCGTGGGGATGTGCACTCGATTGATATGTGGGGTTTAACGTCCCAAAACCATCATATGATTATGAGAGAGGCCGTAGTGGAGGGCGCCGGAAATTTAGACCACCCGGGGTTCTTTAGCGCGCACCCAAATCTGAGCACACGAGCCTACAACATTTCCGCCTCCATCGGAAATGCAGCCGCCGCAGCCGGGATACGAACCGCCGACCTGCGGGTCAGTAGCCGAGTAGCTTAGCCACTAGACCACCACGGCGGGGCGGGGATGTGCACTCACTGAGCTCCCGGTGATGAGAGAGGAAGCTAGGCAAAAACGCTCGCGCTTGCTTCGAGAGCTAGTAGGCACGGTGCGACGAGGGAGTTGCCCGAGAGAGAGGAGCTTCGCCCCCAGAACAAGGCTGGCGCATCTTATGACATAGTTACGCTCCTGGGCCTGCGTAGCATATGGCAACGCTTTTGACAATGCTGATATATAAGGGGGATATTTTATGCAAATTTAGAAGCGAGAATATTTTTGCGAATCTGTGTGCCATTTGCTTGAAGTGCTGAAGGGCAGGAGGGTACACAGTAGTGGAGAGAGAGAAAGAACTCTTTGATTTCGCGAGCTGAACCACTGTTACGTATGCCGAAGTTTTGATAAGTAGCCAGCTAGCAGCTGACGGTTATTCATTCCACTTAGTAGGTGTACTCCCATTATCTTGTCTTTTGTCGAGTATATGATCAGTCTTGATAAGTAACGAAATGGGGAAAATAATCTCGTTTCTCTGTGGTGGAACACCTGTTTTCCAGGAAAACAGCCTGTGTGTGATCATCACTCGGACCCGAAAATTTTTATTGTATATTTTACTGGCATCTTTCTGGATTTTTCGGGCATGGACGAGACGCTTATTTCAAACTCACAACCAACGACGCGAACACCAACACCGCGATTTCTGCGCAACGGAGCTCTGCAACGCCGTGGCCTCCGAGATGGTATACATATATAACCGCGTAGGCAGTGGTAAGACCATCTCGGAGGCTATGGTAACGCTATCGCGTTAATATTAGATACATCCCCTTGGAGCCGTCGTACAGACGAGTAAGCCAGGTAGTCAGTTGTCACCCCTGGGTTGGCCACTGCTGCGATGAGGGGATGTAGAAAAGTCCCCAATGCAACTCCTCCCCGATTCACGAAGTGAGCCACCCGCACACTTATTTGCTTCAGCAACACTTCTACTCACGCCCACTTTTCGGTTTCAGTAGGAAGGGCTGGAGCGTACGACCAGCCCCACTACAAAAAATTACGCGTGCTTCATCTGCCCCGGTTAACAGGTAGTGACATGCTCCAGCCTTCCGAAGTGCAATGAAAGAGCTTCGGCACGGGCCCCCAGCCTTGATGATCACCGGGAAGCCGACACCAATGTTGTGGTCGTGTACAACAGATGTTTTAGAACAGCACAATATTTGGAAAGGCGCAACATATGGCGTAAGTGATTAGCGTCGCCTTTCGTGACACAAACAACGCTGTCAAGCAGAGAAAATCATTGGGAAACACTTGCAACCACATAAAAGCATTTTACGTAACCAACTATAATCCTAGCTTCTGCAGCTTTTTTTAACACAGAAGTTCATCACCGCATAATTAGGAGAAAGTTAGGAGGTACATCCATAGGTCCACAGGGAGAAAAAAATTAGGGCATATCCATAAAAACGTTGTCATGAAGTTAGTGATGATGAGTGAGGCAAAGCGTCCATCAGTCCATCCGTGCTTCCTTCCTTACGTCCTTTCGTCCGTCCGGGTGTCTATCCGTGCATCTGTCCGCACGTGCATATGTCTGTCCATCCATCCGTCCATGGATACACTCGTGTGTGCATTATGAGCGAATGTGGTGATCGGGTGTGCGTGATAAAATGACGTGTGCCTATTGGCGCAACTGCGTCGTTTTAACAGAATTGATTTCCACCAGCCTAGAATTATGACCCAAGTTGAAGTGTCCATGGCATATATACGCACTTGCCTTACGCTCGAAGCATGAACGCCTTTCATGAAGAACGTCATGCGAGGTTCTTCAAACCACAAAATCGCGTGCCTTATGCAATATTCATGAATTTATCGTTATCGACGCAGTGGTCATTATAAATCACTATCGATTTTATTGATCATTATCTCTATTGAGGTGACGCCACTACAACAATCATTGAGCAAAAATAAAAATGATTTCGTTTTTTTAAAGCGTTTTATCGTATCTCACAGACATCTTATGGAATTGTTGCTATTGTCTAACATGCGTTTTTTTTTATACCTTTTTAACACTTCACCTGTATATCGTGCATGTATCACATGCTTCTAATTTGTTTATAGTAAAAACAGTGGAGTCTCGTGAAGGAAAACGAGACAGGTGCGTTGCACTCACATGTGAAAACAAAATATGGCACTGGCGTTGAGCGGAGAGAGAAAACTCTCTTGCCGATAGCGCTTTGGCGCAGACACTGGGTCCCATTTTGAAAAAGTGAATAGTCAAGGGCTGACGGGCTCGTGGGAAACCAGTGCGAGTTGTCGAAGCAAGAGAGAAAAAAAACGCCAGGCTTGCGTAGTAGGTGCCGGACAGTACAACGAAAGCTAAAAGAGCGGCCTTTCAGGGCATTTTCAAAACACTCATCGGGTAACTACTGCAAGCATACTTGCTTGGTACCCACTAAGGCCTTAATAATAAACTTTTGGGTAGTAGGCCCAATTTTTTATCATCTTTTTAGTCATTTTTCAGTCATTTGGTATGCTATTTTCGTCAGGAGCGTGGTATCTGCTAAACACTTTCTCGGAATTTAGTGTCCATGCAGTGGCTGACGATGATGAGGAATTACGGCTGAAGTGTGTATGCGTCACAGTTACTAGGGAAACATGAACAAGCGTTTGCAATGGGTTGGAGCATTGGACAGCCCACTCGTTACGATAACTGCATTGTGCGACGACTGGTTGTTCATTCGCTGATGTAAAATGCTTTATGAGTCGTATTAACGCGATTGCTTTCCCGATTACAAGCCTGCCTAAGGCAAAATCGACAACAAGTCACAAGCACTGGAGTAACTCAGTGGTAGAATATTGGGCTGACACCCAGCAGACCCGGGATCGAGCCCCACTGTGCCAATGGTGCTAGGTCATGCCTGCCTAAGGAAAGTTTCACAACAATTAAGTTGCAAGCCTCGGCGTAACTCAGTGGTAGAATATTGGGCAGGCACCCAACAGACCTGGGTTCAAGCCCCACTGTGTCATTGTTGCAGGGTTTTTTTTTTAATGCGAGGCATTTCTTAGCGAACTTCGGCGGATTTGAGCGTATCTATCTATCTATCTATCTATCTATCTATCTATCTATCTATCTATCTATCTATCTATCTATCTATCTATCTATCTAGCCGCCTACGACTTTTAGTTCTCCTGGCCGATTCGATAATGGTATCGATACCAAACTTGGTATGGCATAACATGACTGCATGAAGAACATATTTTAGTCACAATGACATGCATGTCATGAATGTCGTAATTTACATTCAATGGACCTGCAGCTCTTGTGGTGGTTTCGTTCACATGGCATATTGCACAACTTCTATGGTATGGCATGATTGCATGGCAAACAAAAGCGTCGGACCATAACATGAAAATATGACATGCGTGTCAAGTAACAACATGACTACATGCCACGCTCATGATGCGCTCGCGGCCGTTTCGCTAGCGTCATATATACCAAATTTTGTATTACAGTACGTGAATATATGACGAAGGTATGTGACTGGTGCAAACATGATAATCATGAGATGCGTGGCATGTAACAACATGACTACATGCCACTTTCATGATTCGCCTGTCGTTTCGCTAGCTTCACTTATACTAAATTCGGTATTACGGGACGTGAATAGATTACGAAGACATGATACGGGTGCAAACATTATAAACATGAGATGCGTGTCATGTAACATGACTACATGCTACGCTCAGTATGCGCTCGCGGCCGTTTCGCTCGCTTCACACATGCCGAATTTGGTATTATGTGACGCCAATGGATGACGAAGGTATGTGACTGGTGCAAACATAATAATCATGAGATGCGTGTCATGTGAGAACATGACTATATGCCACAGTCAAGGCACCAATAGATTTCGACGTGACGCGGTGCGCGTGCTCACCGGCGTTCATTTCATCGCGTCACGCCGCCGTTCCCATACCAGTCGCCGGTCTTGCCATACTCGCAGGATCACGCCGCGCTGCGTTTCTTTGACACATGCGCGTTTCATTGCGTCCGGCATCCCTCCGTCACGAAAATAGGCTGACGCAGTTTTGTCTGGGTAACGCATCGGCGCGAAATTGAGCATGTCACATTTCGCGCATGTTGGCATCGGGCCGCGTCGACGGACGCTGGTCGCGCCTGGCGTCAGACTATAGAGTGCTCGCGTTTCGCTAACGTAGCGTCACTGTGCCCAGAGTAAGCGCGCGTCAACGCTACATTGGATTATATTGGGCCCTTCACGATGTGCTCGTGGCCGTTTTGCTAGCTCCACATATACCAAATGTGGTGTTACGTGGCGTCAATAGATGCCGAAATATATGACCGGTGCAAACATGATAATCCTAACACGCGTGTCATGTAAGAACGTGGCAACATGCCACACCCATAGCGTGCTCGCGGCCGTTTCGCTAGCTCCACATATACTAAATTTGGTATGATGTGACGTGAATAGATGACGTAGGTAAACGACACATCCAAACATTATAATCATGACACGGAAGTGATGTACGAGATCCTTTACCCCCACCTCGTAACGTTGTGCTGAATAATAAGTGACATACCAACTTTTATCATTCGTGCTTCGCATATCCTGGATTTCCACTGAACGTGGAATGTGCCATTTTTTTCTAATTTCGCGCGATGTGGTTACGGACACTGGTATCGGCGGCGGCAGCGGCGGACAACATGCAACTCCGCGTGACCCGAGTTGTTCTCTCATAACAGCTTTCGCTGTAAAAATCACGTACAGCTATCATCGCCGCTCTTTCAGCCGCTCATATCAGCTTGGCATGAACCTAACGACAACGTATGCAACGACCCACACAGTTAAACAGAATAAGCGCTTCGCGTTGTGAAAGCGAAGCTCCTTATAGCGGCACCCATTTGTCTTTCGTAGCCGTAGTAATAGTCGTAGTGTGTAACCGGTATCACATTTTGACCTCCAAGGTGGTGCTGGTGAGAGATTTCTTCTGTGCGTTGTTGAACAATAAAGGATAGTGCTCAATGTACATGCCAATGGCTGCGAAGGAGGAATGAGAGACAGGAGAATTCGGCTTTTAGTTAACGCGTACGCTGCGAACTTTCTATTGTTCAACAACGCACAGAAGACAAGAAAGAGTTGCTACGTTATACTCGCTGAGCGTAACCTCCTAGGTTTTAGAAAGGTTCAGCGAGCGTTCGGCCGCAGTGCCATGAATACAGTGAACTAGTACATACCATGAACTCGAGGTGGTTAAAGGTGGGAAGTAGACACGAAGCGCAAGCCGTAAGAAAGTGTGCGTGTGCCTCCTCTCGTTCAGTCCTTGGAATGTCCGCTGGATGGCGGTGCTTCTATATGATGAATATGTGATGAAAGGATGCGAGATGGTGGAATTTGGAATGTTGAATAGGTGGACGAACGGACACACAGACAGATGCATGGATGGACGCATGGATGGATGAACGGACGGATGGACGCATGGACGGACGCAGGAGCGAATGCACGGAAAAAAGCAGGGACGGACGCACAGATGAACATGCGGACGCACGAACAAACGCACGCACGGACGGGCGGATAGACGCATGGACGGTCACAAAGGCAGACGCATGGATGGACAGAAGCAAGAACGAATAGACGGACGGATGCTTCGCCCCACTATCCACCATCTACTGCGTGGATATGCTGCCTTTCTTTTATTTCGCTGCAACAAGAAGTCAAATGAAATATTGGCGTTTACTCCAAACACGATGATAGGCGCGACGATTCGAGACGCAAGTACTGTATTTACGGCAGCCCAAGAATCAAAATTCACGAAGTAAATCTCGGATCACATCACGATTCTTCGCTTTGAGTCATAGTTGCCATAGTTATAGCAGAGAGCGGTGAAACGTTGTAGCGAAAGTTGAGTAAAACAAAAAAATGAAAATGAAAATGACGTAATGAAATGCGTACAATGGCCCTGATTCATTTAATGCCCCTGAAACCAAAAAAGAAAGATCCATTCATGTTGAAGCTTACGTTACATGTGGCGTTGTTCGCTTTAGTACCACAATAGGTACCACGCAGAAACGTCGTCTTCGAGATGAGTGCGGGTTGGGGTGCGATTTAAACAAGGTATATGCTTAGCTGACGCAGAAGTCCGTGCCTTCACGATTATTTTTTCTAACG